GATTTTAATAATGATGATGCTCGTAATAATAAATAATCAAACTTGTGTACCAGGTTTTGGAGTGTGAATATGCTGTCCGAGGAGAAATTGTGATCCTTGCTCAGGTAATTATTATTGTTTTTTTCTTCATTTCTGTTAATGATGCTTATAAGCATGTTGTTCCTCTTGCTGTGTTATCATTAACGTGGTTTTGATACTCTTATCAGAAATTGCAAGAAGAATTGAAGAACAATCCTGGTGCCCATCCCTTTGATGAGGTACTTATTCCTTGCTTAGCTTGCAAAATGGAAAAATTTATTGCAAAACTTGTAATTCTTAATATAGTGTATGAACTATGCATTTCATTTGGTTTGAGTGGAGAATTGAATAAAACGAGGATTTGTATTTAAAATGGAACGGTATAGATTGGCAAGCACAAAATTGTTAGGTGCTTGTATTGTTTGAAGATTAGTATTCATTTGACAATCTGCTTTTGTGTGTGTGTGTGTGTGTGTGTGTTTATTTAGTTAACTATCTCGAATTAGGAATCGTATTAGGGGAATTTAGTATTGTTTCTTGTCGTGTGCAGATACTCTACTGCAATATCGGGAATCCTCAATCCCTTGGCCAGAAGCCAATCACATTTTTCAGGGAGGTGCGTAAAATGCTTTCATACAGTGTAATGAAGAAAATGTTGCACAACTTGTGTTTCGATTGTCTAATGTATTCGGTTCTTATTTCAGGTTCTTGCTTTATGTGATCATCCTGCTATTTTGGATAAATCTGAAACAAAAGGTCTATTTAGGTAAAGACACTCGAATCTTGGTATACATTTGTCTATATAATAATCTATACATACCGAAAATTGCAAGAACACACCCGTGACAATCTCACGAGGATATTTCCTCACTGGTAGCTCGTTTGAATCTACGGTAATAACAATTTTTAAGTCCTTTTTTTATTTCAGGCCCTTTTGTATAATATTTCAATAATTGAATCAAATCATCTTTCCACATATGTATCCTGTGTACGCAGGGTCATGAATGTCTAATTTTCGTAAGATCTTTTACCACTTTATGAATAGTCGATATTTTTCAGATTTTCCCTTTCTTGATCATGAGTTATTCTAGCGTTATTGGACTCCTTATTGGTCCATTTTTTGTTACTAATAAATATTAATTGTATGTGGTGGATTTTTTAGTGCCGACTCCATCAAACGAGCATTACAAATCCTGAAGCAAATTCCTGGAAGAGCCACTGGTGCTTATAGTCACAGCCAGGTAGCATTAGCAATGGCCTCTAATGGAAAACCATGCATGTGTTGAAGCTGGGTTGCTTTATATACTAAAGTTAGAAACTCTGTTATTTAAATGAAAATCAGGGTATCAAAGGACTACGCGATGCAATTTGTGCTGGCATTGAAGGCCGTGATGGATTCCCTTCTGATCCTAACGATATTTTCTTGACAGATGGTGCAAGCCCAGCGGTATAACTATTCCTGTTGCTGGATAAGACTCTTTATTAAAATTATTATTAATAATTATTATTGTTATATATATATATTTTTTTTTCAGGTTCATATGATGATGCAGCTACTGATACGATCGAAGAATGATGGCATTCTGTGCCCTATTCCGCAATATCCACTCTATTCTGCTTCAATTGCTCTACATGGTGGCACTCTTGTAAGTATTACATATGGCTAAGTTGATTAAAAAAAATAAAAAATTATGCGTGAATATGTTTTACCTTTTGGTTTCCTTTTTTCAGGTTCCTTATTTTCTTGATGAAGCTACTGGATGGGGTCTTGAGATCTCCGAACTTAAAAAACAGTTAGAAAGTGCCAAATCAAAGGGTGTTAATGTCAGGGCTTTGGTTGTTATAAATCCTGGCAACCCCACAGGGCAGGTAACGAACAACTAATAATTATTGTGCTCGATTTTTAATATTTTCCTATATGGAATACTATCTAACTTATCGTTTAAATGGTCAAAGGTTCGAATGGTCTCGCTAGTTAACTCATCACACGATTTGAATATCTAATTTGTTTTCTTCTGAAGGTTCTGGCTGAGGACAACCAAAAGCAAATTGTGGACTTCTGCAAGAAAGAAGGGCTTGTTCTTTTGGCAGATGAGGTGACTACATTTTCTTTAACTTAAAAGCAATATCACTTTTTTGACTACTCATAAAAAAATTGAGTCTCATTTTTTAATTCTGAAAATAACTGCATTTTTTTTTTTTTTTTGGTTAATTAGGATAAACCTCAAAACAATTTGATAACTAACACTTGAAAGTATAATCCTTAATATCATGAATTTTGTCCATCTGCAGGTGTACCAAGAAAATATTTATGTGCCCGACAAGAAGTTCCACTCCTTTAAGAAAATTGCTCGGTCAATGGGTTATGGGGAGAAAGAAATTTCCTTAGTTTCTTTCCAGTCTGTGTCGAAAGGTGGGGCAATTCAGGTTCTAATGTGATCAGAGCCTGCTGTAATTTATCAGACCATTTTGGAGTAGATAAAGTCCATCTTTATTCTCTTTTTTCACAGGTTATTA